AACAACTTTTTCGTCTTGGATAGTCTTAAACCATAGCCCTAATCTCCATCTCCTAAGCAACCAGGAAAACAGTAATGAATTATCTTACAAAGTTGCATAGAGCTTTTTATACCAGGGATTGAGTTCAGGACTTGCTTTGCTCTTTTTTTTTTTTTTTTTTTGTTAGTCTTGGGTCCTGAACTCTGGGCCTAGGCACTGTCCCTCTTCAGCTCAAGACTCATCCACTTGAGCTACAGCACCACTTCCAGCTTTTTCTGCTTATGTGATGCTAAGGACTCGAACCCAGGGCTTCATACATGCAAGGCAAGCGCTCTACCACTGAGCCACCTTCCCAGCCCCATTGCTTTGCTCTTTCACTTGGCTTTTTCACTTATGACTGGCATTCTACTACTTGAGCAACATCTTCACTTTCTCCACTTCTGGCTTTTTGTTGTTATTTTGGAAATAAGATTCTCTTCCATTTGTCTGCTTGGGTTGGCTTTGAACTTCTATCCTCAGTTCTCAGCCTCCTTAGTAGCTAGGATTATAGGCATGAGCCCATGAGTGCTGGGGCTGGGGTAGAATCTTGTTTATTTAAAAAATAGTGAGGGGCTGGGAAGGTAGCTCAGTGGTAGAGTGCTTGCCTTGCATGCATGAGGCTCTGGGTTTGATTCCTCAGCACCACATAAACAGAAAAAGCCAGAAGTGGCACTGTGGCTCAAGAGGTAGAACACTAGCCTTGAGCTGAAGAGCTGAAGGACAGTGCCAAGGCCCAGAGTTCAGGCCCCATGATAGAAAAAACAACACATTAGATTTAGTTCCTTAAAAATGAAACAATGGTTTGGCCTAAAGAGAAAGTCCCAGCTACCCTGTAGCTGCATGAGAGAGTGTGGTGGTATGGGTATTTTGAAAGCCTTTAAGAAATCTCATTGTGCGCTGGTAGCTCACGCCTGTAATCCTAGCTACTCAGGAGGCTGAGATCTGAGGATCTTGGTTCAAAGCCAGCCTGGGCAGGAGAGACCGTAAGACTCCTATCTCCAATAAACCACCAGAAAACTGGAAGTGGCACTGTAGCTCAAGTGGTAGAGCGCTCGCCTTGAGCTGAAGAGCTGAGGGACAGCGCCCAGGCCCAGAGTTCAAGCCCCATGGCCGACAAAAAAAAAATCTCATTTTGAGACTTGACTGTTTGATTTATTTGGCTCTGGTAGTCTGGAAATACTTGACCATACTTGGCCATAATTAAGCCTCCTAGTTCTGTGCTTATAAGAAAGCAGAAAAACATCAAGAAGTCTTAATTGTGATCCAGATTGTTTTAGTGGTGAAAAAAAGTTCTGGGCTGTGTAAGTAGTGGGGCAGTAGTATAGCCAATGCTTCTAGGAACTTCATGCAATTTTCACTGTAGGAAAGATCTTTTTTTTTTTTTTGTAGGAGAGATCTTTGAGATTAATATTTCATTTGGTTGTGAATTATTGACTATTCCAACTTCACTTTCTAAACATTTTTACTGAATTTTAATGGCCTTCCTGCAAATAATGAAGGGTATTTTTTCCATTGATGTATAAGATACCCCTTTTGTTGAATGTTCTGTAAATTGTATACTCCAGTACAACCCAGTTTCATTAATACTGTAATACATAGTAAGATTTGCTGTGGCAAAGACTGGGCTAGTTGTTAATTTTTAACATCTATAGGTTTGGTTGAGAAAGCACCCTAAAAAAAAGTAGGTGGCAGGCTGGGAAGGTGGCTCAGTGGTAGAGCGCTTGCCTTGCATGCCTGAGGCCCTGGGTTCGATTCCTCAGCACCACATAAGCAAAAAGAAAAAAGCCGGAAGTGGCACTGTGGCTCAAGTGGTAGAGCACTAGCCTTGAGCTGAAGAGCTGAGGGACAGCGCCCAGTCCCAGAGTTCAGGCCCCATGACTGGACCAAAAAAAAAAAAAAAAGTAGGTGGCTGAGTCAGTGCTGAGGAAGATATCATTGGTTAGCGAAATGAGTCCCTTTTCTATAGCTTAGTCCACTCCTTCCCTTTTCCACGCCTTAGCATGCTCCCTTCCTAGGCATAGGCCCATGTAGTAAAGGCAGTAATCAACTTCCAACCCCTTTTACCTTGGGATGGCACTTCTCTGGGGCAGCTTCCAGCCTGTAAGGCAACAAAAGCCCCTTAGAGTGACCTTCAAGTCTGGGCAGTTGCAGGACCCTTATTTACCATTTGGATAGCAGCCATAAATTCTAGTTTACATGATGAAGCTCCTGGCCCCATGTCCACACCAGGGTCTCCGCCTCCTAATCCCCCTAGGTTATATAGGTCACCCCAGACAATAGCTGGTACTTCTTATTCCTCCCTTGTGAGAAGGAGTCTTGCTGGCCCCCATCTTAATTTGCTATCAATTGGTATAAGTCAAAGCCTAGTGCTGAGTACACACTGGATTATTGAAAATACGAGATCTAATGGCTTTCTTCCAATAAGATCTCATGAGTCCATGGAAATAAGGATAATTTGAGTAAGGTGATGCCTTCTGCCAACAATATGAGAAAAGAAATTCTGGTATAGTTAGTTTTTGTTGAAATGCTCAGTAACAAGTACTAATTTGGGAAGTGGTGCTGTGGCTTGAGTGGTAGAGCACTAACCTTGAGCAAAAGAAGCTCAGAGAGCCGGGCGCTGGTGGCTCACGCCTGTAATCCTAGCTACTCAGGAGGCTGAGATCTGAGGATCTCGGTTCAAAGCCAGCCCGGGCAGGAGAGACCGTGAGACTCCTATCTCCAATAAACCACCAGAAAACCGAAAGTGGCGCTGTAGCTCAAGTGGTAGAGCGCTCGCCTTGAGCTAAAGAGCTGAGGGACACTGCCCAGGCCCAGAGTTCAAGCCCCACAACCGACAAAAAAATAAAAAGAAGCTCAGAGATAGTGTGCAAGCCCTATATTCAAGCCCCATGAACCACCAAAAAAAAAAAAAAAATTCTAAAAATACTAATTTCAAGAACACCTGGTGGTAGAAGGCAGAATTCAGTGACAGAAAGCTTGCCTAGCATGGTAGAACTTGGCGGGGAGGGGGTGGAGGGTGGGGAGTTGATTTTTTTTTTTTTTTTTGGTCAGTCATGGGGATTGAACTCTGGGCCTGGGCACTGTCGGCTCTTCAGCTCAAGGCTAGCTCTACCATTTGAGCTACCGTGCCACTTTGTTTTCTGTTCTTTCCTGCCGGGGCTGGCTTTGAACCACAATCCTCAGATCTCAGTCTCCTGAGTAGCTAGGATTACAGACATGAGCCACCAGTGTCTGGCTGGGATTTGATTTTGAGTGCAAAGAACACCTACCACTAAGAAGATGAGGAAAAACATTTAAAAATAAATAAAACCAGTCATATTAATAACAATTTGTGGGGAATAAGTGAACTATATTAATATTCAGAATTGCAGGAATGACTCATTTTTGGCAGGAACACAAATCACCTCAACAAAGTGGAAACTTGGGACTCTAGAAAGCAGATAAAGGATGGTGTGAACATCTGCAACTTTTAAAGGTTTTCAAAGCATTTTGCAAACAGTAAAAATTCAAGCATTTATATTGTTGATGGCAAAAGCAAAATGGACTTCTAAATTAACCCTATTTCTCTGTATGCACATATATTTTCATTTCAGAAATTATCTTGTGACAGCCTGAAAACTGGGTTTGTGCTGTTCAGCCCAGGCTGGCCATTTCAGAGCCACCATAGGTGAGAGCACGGGCTACAACTGCAGGCGATGAAGAACCCACATTACCTCAAGCACTAGGAGCTTTACAATTAATTTTTAAGCAGCCATACAATCACAAGCACACAGGCTTTAAAGACATTCCATAATTGATTTGTGTTTTTATTCACAAGACACTACGTTGGAATTGAACTTTACAACTTGGGCGGGGGGTGGGGTGGGGGAGAGAGGAGGAGTCGGGAGAAGAAGTGAGAAAAAAACGAGGGAGGAGGTAACAATGTTCGTCAGGAAAGGTAATCATTAGCCGGGCGCCAGTGGCTCACGCCTGTAATCCTAGCTACACAGGAGGCTGAGATCTGAGGATCACGGTTCAAAGCCAGCCTGAGCAGGAAAGGCCGTGAAAATATCTCCAATGAACCACCAGAAAACTGGCAGTGGTGCTGTGGCTCAAGTGGTAGAGCGCTCGCCTTGAGCTGAAGAGGGACAGCGCCCAGGCCCAGAGTTCAAGCCCCACGGCCGATCCCCCACCCCAAATGTAATCATTACCTTACGTATGTAACTGTAGCCCCTCTGTACGTCACCTTTACAATAAAACTAAAGACTTAATGTCAGAAGAAGAAAAAAAGAGAAAGCTCGGGCCCATGATCGCTTGGGCCGAGCGGAAACACACAAACACTAGCACGCCCTCGTCCCGTCCTGCACCGGGCGCTTCCTCGTGTCACGTGACAGCCCTCCTGCCCGCCCCTTCCACCCTTTTTCCTGGGGGGGGGGGTGGAGAGGAGCTCCTGGACAAGTTATTAAGACTTGGAATGAGAGCGCTAGTAGAAAGCTGTTCATTCCTTCCACGTCTTCGGCGTAAATAGAATCAGCTTCTATCTCCCCTCACTTCTCTTTCTAAAGTGTCTTGGGAAACGTCAGCATCCTCCCGCGCGTAAAGGTTTCTTCCAGCCTCCTCCCGCCCCCCCACGCCGCCCCGCCCCGCCCCCCACTTTGCCCCGCCCCCCACTTTGCCCCGCCCCCACTCCGCCCCGCCCCGCCCCGCCCCGCCCTGAGCGGGCTGAACCATTCTATACTTCTCGAAGGGGGGGAAGCGAAACAGAGACACCAGAGAAGGGGTGTCTGGAAGCTGAGTCTGGTTCCCTTTCAGACTCCGTGGTTGTTTTAAACTCTCTCTGTATTCGTAGGGGTGTCGGGTCCTGCGGGGCTTCGCTCTCCTCGCGACGCCCGGCGGCTGCGGGCGGTGTCTGCCCTCTGCCGCGGGGCTGCGCGGATGGTCCGAACCACCCGAGTCACGCGCTCGGGCTGAGGGCGTGGGGGGTGGGGGCGCGGGCTGCCAGGCCTGGGAGACCGCGGCTGAGCGTGAGGGCCCGCTGCCGCCTGCTGGTCGAGGGCTGCAGCCGGGGGCCCCTCGCGTGGGGTCCGCGGCCCAGAGTGACCCCCGCGGGGACTACCTTCTAGCGAAGTGAAGAGACGGGGCTCCCGCCGCCTGGGGTCCTGCGAAGGCCGGGACGGCGCAATGGGGCGGACCTGAGGAGAGGTGGGTCTGGGGGCCCGGCCCCGCGGAGTTAGTGGGCAGGTGATGGGGGGGAGCTTAGAGCTGAGGGGAAGGCATTGCGGAGGACCCCGCCCCCGAGGGGATGGTGGTGAGGGTGAGTGGCGCTTCGGGGAGGAAGCGGGTCACCTGGGGCGGCCCCCCCCCCCCTCCCCCCCCCCCGGTCAGGGTCATCGGTTGAATTCCCTGCGCTTGGCCTGGCCTGCCTCTTGCTCCTCGGCCTGCCTCCTGCTCCGGCTGTTTTTCCGTGTGCTTTGAGAGAGAGAGAGAGAGAGAGGGGTGGTTGGCTTTTCCTGCCTTTCCTCCTTGGCTGGCCGGAGGAGGACCCTCTGATAACGCTAATAGGCCTAGCACAGCTTCCTCGGGCGTCAATAAGACCTCCTTTTGTCTTTCCCCTGGAAAAATCAGTTAGCCAGCTCAGTACCTGGCTTGCAAGGTGCAAGGTGGTCCCCAGCCGTCACGGGTGGGCCAGGGCGCCAGGAGCTTGTTGGAATTTGATCCTGGTTCTCCTGCCCTTAGACACCTATCACCAACCGTGATGCCCAGCCAGCCTAGCAGGAAGAACTGTGTCCCAGCAGAGAAAGGCCACAGCTGCTCTAGTGCTGGAGGACTACATTATCACCATTGTCCTTAAGTGATTGAGCAATTGTGGCACATGACGCTGTTTGCCCTTCTAGTGTGGTGTGTGTCTGGCGAGCTCTGCAAATAAATAGAAATCCCGGTGAAGCTTGGTAGGACTCTCCTGTGGCAGTTTTCATCCCTGTGTACTTTGCTGGGATTCCAGCTCCTACTGGTGAAGCTCCCCTGTGGGAGATGAGTTTGTAGAGTTGGGTGCTTGCTACTGGTTAAGCTCCATTGTAACCCCTTATTTCCTTAGGGTGCTTTTAGTGACCCCTAATTCTCTAGGCTTGTGTGAGAAGACAACAGAAGTAGGGATGAAGTAGACCCAGGGCTCAGTGGAGAATGGAAGGATGGTGCCGTGTTCAGGACAGTGATTCAGCTAGTGTGGGCAGGGACATGGTCAGGCAGCCAACCTCCTCAAGGAATTTGAGAACTTACTTTAAGCATGATGAGGAAGAGACTGTCTTGAGTTCTGGAAAGCTTGTTGGGAAGGATGATAGTACACTCACAGCACTTTGTTCCGCAAAATTGGAATGGGCATTCAAATTGGAGAAAGATGAAAGAATTGGCCTCTTTCTGCCCAGAATTCAAATGCTGTGTACTGTGAGACCCTGAGAGACCTTATTCAGTAGGCAGGAGGCAGGAGGGCTCCTAAGCCACAGAACCACAAGTGTATTAGTGGGTTTCTTTTTTTTGAGGGGGGGGTCTGGTCGTGGGGCCTGAACTCTGGGCCTGGGCACTGTCCCTCAGCTCTTCAGTTCAAGGCTAGCGCTCTACCACTTGAGCTACAGCGCCACTTCTGCCTTTTTTATTTTCTGCTTATGTGGTGTTGAGGAATTGAACCCAGGGCCTCATGCATGCTTCTTATCATAACAAAATACCTGAAATGATAACTTGGAAAGAAGGACAGGCTTAGTTTGGTTCATGGTCTCAGTCCATAGATGGTTGGTTCCTTTGGGCCTGTGGTCAGGTAGAACATCTTAGCAGGGGAGCACATGATAGCACAAAACTGTGTTTTGGGAGTCGTAGAACAGACATTTTGGTTTTTGGTCACTGCATAGTGGCCAGGAAACAAAGACAGATGGATTTGGGAGGAGAAGGGGAGGAGCAGGGGTGGGAGCAGCAGTCCCTATATCCCCCCTACAAGGGCACTTCTCAATAGGCCCTACCTCCTAAAAGTTCTACCACTTCTAAACCACTATTGAGTAGGCACCAAGCCTTCAACACATAGCATTTGGGAGACATTGGGATCTGAAGCATTTGGGAGACATTGGGATCTGAAGCATAACAGCAGATGAATCTCCAATCCTCTTGCTGTGTCCTGGTTTTAGGTCAGCTAAAAGCTTATTGAGAAGGTTTCTTCATGCTACAAAGATGACTGCTCTTTAGTCAGGAACCAGTGGCTCATACCTATGATCTTAGTTACTCAGGAAGCTGAGATCTGAGAATTGAGGTTCTAAGCCAACCCGGTAGGAAAGTCCATGAGACTCTTACCTTCAATTAACTACCAAAAAGCCAGAAGTAGAGCTGTGCTTCAAGTAGTCAAGTGTTAGCCTTGAATAAAAAGCTCAAGGACAGTGCCAGGCCCTGAGTTCAAGCCCCAGAACTGGCACCAAATAAAGTAAAAAAAAAAATCACTGCTCTTAGAATTAGGTCTGGGTTTCCCCCCTGACTTTCTTCCTCTGACTTTTTCTTTTCTTAGATAATGTCAAGTTTTGAATCTGAAGTTACCATACTTGATTCATCTGGCGAGACCTTGAGTGCTTTGGTCTAGGTGGGATGGTGGAAGTGTGCTTCTTCTAAGTATAAGGTTAGTACTGATGATTTGCCTAAGAGCTGCTTCATTTCTCTTTTTGTATCTCTCCAAGGAGTTTGTAGCACCTTTTCCAGTGCCACTGCCTCTGCCTTTATTTTGGATTCGACTCCCCTTCCTCCTGCTCAGACTTCTTATTCCATCCGTGGCCTGTCCTTCCTGGTTCCTTTTTTTTTTGTCCTGGGGCTCTAACTCAGGGTCTGGGCGCTATCCCTGAGCTTCTTTTGCTCTAGGCTAGCACTCTACCACTTGAACCACAGTGCCATTTCTAACTTCTGTTTATGTGGTACTGAGGAATCAAACCCAGGGTGTCATACATGCTAGGCAAGCACTCTTCTGCTAAGCCACATTCCCAGCCTCCATACTTGTTCTTTTGGCCTCACTCTAATGAGTCCCATGAACCCTTTATTTAAACCCATTCCACTTGGTTCTGTGCCCCTACTGTCCTTTCTTTTTCTTTTCTTTTTTTTTTTGGTCGGTCGTGGGGCTTGAACTCTGGGCCTGGGCACTATCCCTGAGCTCTTCAGCTCAAGGCTAGCGCTCTACCACTTGAGCCAGAGCACTATACCCGGCTTTTTCTGTTTATATGGTGCTGAGGAATCGAACCCAGGGCCTCATGCTTGCTAGGCAAGCACTCTACAACTGAGCCACCTTCTCAGCCCCCTGACAGTGTCTTTACTGACTTTGCTACCCACTCTGGTAAGTGGGGCCACCTCAGTTGGCATCTGTATGTCAGCCTCATCAGAGATAGCTTTGCTATCTCTAAAAGCAGTTCCAGGAGCCTTCAGGGATCATGAGATCAGTTTTCCTTCCTCCCAAACTCCCTCAGGCCCTGGGCTCTTCCCCCTGCGAGCATGCTCCCATTTCATCTCTACTGAGGACCTGTACCCAGTCTCCTTGTGGGATTTTCTTGTCCTGCCCACCAGATCGTTCTCCACAGCCATTCCCGATGCAAGGATGTGCTCTGTGTGTGTGTGTGTGTGTTTACGTGCGCGCACGCGTGCCTATGTGACTAACTGCCTATTTACGTATTTGTCCATTGAGGTGAGCACCTAGGGGTGCATCACAGCATCCAAACTTGCCTGGCAGGTATGGAGTGTTAGGTGAAGTTCCCTCTACTTGGCTCCTGTGGCATTTTCTTTTTTCTTTTTTTTACTTTTTTGGGTCCGGTTGTGGGGCCTGAACTCTGGGCCTGAGCACTGTCCCTCAGCTCTTCAGCTCAAGGCTAGCGCTCTACCACTTGAGCCACAGCGCCACTTCCGGCTTTTTCTTTTTGCTTATGTGGTGCTGAGGAATCGAACCCAGGGCCTCATGCCTGCAAGGCAAGTGCTCTACCACAGAGCCACCTTCCTAGCCCTCCTGTGGCATTTTCTATATGTCATTCCAGTGGTGCTGACATGGTGCTGCATGGTGGCATTCAAGGTGCATTCTGCTTGTACCATCTACCTCCTAGCTCTGTGGTACTTCTACCTGGAGAGCTTTCCATGTGATTAGAACTGGTTGTGCTGGCAGGTGACTTAACCTCTGCTGGTCAGGAAGCCCCTGGTGATGTGTGGTCCCAGTGCTCCATGGGCTCTGGGCACGTTTTGGAGCATGAGCAGGTACAGGTCTGCTGATGGTATTCCTGCCTCCACAGGCTTCTTGCTCATCCCCTAAGGCACCATGAATGCCATCGTTGCCCTCTGTCACTTCTGTGAACTCCATGGTCCCCGTACTCTTTTCTGCACGGAAGTTCTGCATGCCCCTCTGCCCCAGGGTGCTGGGAATGGGGACAGCCCTGGCCAGGGTGAACAAGCTGAGGAGGAGGAGGGCGGCATCCAGATGAGCAGCCGGGTCCGTGCTCATAGTCCAGCCGAGGGTGCCAGTGCCGAGTCCAGTAGCCCGGGGCCCAAGAAGTCGGACATGTGTGAGGCAAGTGTTTTGGGACCCTTGGGGAACATTTGGTCTTTGAGAAGCAAATGGGAGGATGTAGGAGACCCCAGAATGTTGAGAGCATTGGATAAGGCCTTCTGGAAATGACCCAGACCTCAGGGGCTTTTCCTTGACCCTCTGCATGTGCATGCTTCTCTCTAGTCCCTTTGGTTCATTCTCATCATCCCAATATTCAGCCACTGTATGCATTAGCATTTTAAGCCACAGACAGTTGCTGTTCCATCATGGCATTTACCCTTGTATCCACCCACTTCAATTAGCCTAGTCTTATGTTCCTTCAGCCTATCCCAACAGGCCACATTGTGTGGAGGTCTTTGATCAGGCTTGAAATTGAGTGGTGGTGGAAGCTGTGCTTGGGCATTTGTTTGGGTCTGCTGAGAAGTACATGTACTGGGCATGGTGGCTAATTTCAGCTACTCAGAAGGCTCAGCGCTAGGATTACAGGCATGAGCTGCTGGTACCTGGCTCAAAGGTGTAGGCCAGTCTGTTCTCAAGCTTGTGATCTTCCTGCCTCATCCTCTCATTACCTGTACGTGCTATGGCCAGCCCTACTTTTATGAGCTTTGTGGCCCCAAGGGTCTGCTTTTCCTAGTTAGGAAACTCTTTGTTCCTCTGATGAGTGTAAATCTAGAAGCCAGCAAGTTTCTATACAATAATTGAGAGGTTGCAGGTGATGGCATATGCCCGTAACCCCAGCAGTTTGGATGCTGAGGAGGATCCTGAATTCTAGATCAACCTGGGCTGTGGAGGGATATCCTATCATAAAAAAAAAAGAAAGAAAAGAAAAGAAGGCCAGGCGCCTGTGGCTCACACCTATAATCTTAGCTACTCAGGAGGCTGAGATCTAAGGATCGTGGGTCAAAACCAGCCCAGGCAGGAAAGTCTATGAGACTCTTACCTCCAATTAACCATCAGAAACCAGAAGTGATGCTGTGGCTCAAAATGGTAGAGTACTAGAGGGACAGCGCTCAGGCCCAGAGTTCAGGCCCCATGACCAACAAAAGAATAGACAGGCAGGGAAGGAGGGAGGGAAGGAGAAGAAAAGAAAAGAGATTAACTTTCTAAATGCATTATTTGTATAAGGTAGGGCAGTTTGTTGTTTGCTTCCATCTAATAGGTTTTCTTGTCCTCTTGGGCAGGGCTGCCGGTCCCTTGCTGCAGGGCACCCAGGCTATATCAGCCATGATAAAGAAACATCAATCAAGTATGTCAGTCACCAGCACCCCAACCACCCCCAGCTCTTCAGCATTGTCCGCCAGGCCTGTGTTAGGAGCCTGAGCTGTGAGGTAAGCCTGGGGCCTGTCTCAGTGGGAGACCCACACAGACATAGTTCAGTGCTGGTTATGGACAGGGAGGGGCCTGGCCAGTCACTGTGCTGTAGAGTGCAGCACACCAATGGTTGAACCTTAAAGAATGTGGTAAGTTCTCTGATTTTCTGAGTGGGTGCTAACTTTTTACTTCAAGTACCAGCTTGTTTTTATTTCTTTTTATTTTTTATTTTTGGTTGATCGTGGGATTTGAACTCTGGTCCTAGGTGCTGTCCTTCAGCTCTTCAGCTTAAGGTGAGCGCTCTACCACTTGAGCCACAGCGCCACTTCCAGCTTTTTCTGTTTATGAGGTGCTGAGGAACTGAACCCAGGGCTTCATGCATGCCAGGCAAGCACTCTACAACTGAGCCACCTTCTCAGTCCTGTAATTGCTATTTTTTTGTCAGTTGTAGGGCCTGAACTCTGGGCCTGGGTGCTGTCCCTCAGCTCTTCAGCCCAAGGCAAGCACCCTACCACTTGAGCCATAGCACCACTTCTGACTTTTTTCTTATGTGGTGCTGAGGAGTTGAACCCAGGGCCTTATGCATGCAAGGCAAGCACTCTACCACTGAGCCAACTTTCCAGCCCCCTAATTGCTTTTTTTTTTTTAAATTTTTTTTTGGGTCCGGTCATGGGGCCTGAACTCTGGGCCTCAGCGCTGTCCCTCAGTTCTTCAGCTCAAGGCTAGCGCTCTACCACTTGAGCCACAGTGCCACTTCTGGCTTTTTTCTTTTTGCTTATGTGGGTGCTGAGGAATCGAACCCAGGGCCTCAGGCATGCAAGGCAAGCGCTCTACCACTGAGCTATCTTCCCAGCCTCGTGGGTCTCACATTCTTGCTCATCTTTTTTGTTCATGGCTGGTGCTCTACCACTTCAGTTATGCCTCTAGTTTTAGCCTTTTCTGGTTATTTGGAGATGAGTCTTTCAGATTTGTCTGCCCAGGTTGGCTCCAAATGGTGATTCTTAGATCTTAGCCAATTGAGTGACTAAGATTATAGGATTGAGCCACTGGCATCTGGTTTTTATCTGCATTGTCCATTCCTGATGTATATATTTCTAAGACAGGAATTATTTCTACCATATGTATATACACTATTTTATTGTCTGAATCATCACATGTTCTTAGAAACCCAAGTAGATTGACTTGTTCCTGAACTCCATAGCTATTGCTCTTGGTTTATCATAAAGAGCTCATGGTCCAGTCACTAAGCTTTCTTGCCTATATCCATCCACCAGAGGAGGCTCCTCCCATCCTCTGCTGGTTGTCATTGTTGCCATGTGTTCTCATTTCCTGCTGTGAATCTGCAAGCAAACAGACGGTCATGTGTGCTCCAACTATGTATTAAGAACAAGAGAATCGGGCTGGGAAGGTGGCTCAGTGGTAGAGAGCTTGCCTTGCATGCTTGAGGCCCTGGGTTCGATTCCTCAGCACCACATAAGCAGAAAAAAAAGAAAAGACAAAAGTGGTGCTGTGGCTCAAGTGGTAGAGTGCTAGCCTTGAGCTGAAGATCTGAGGGACAGCGCCCAGGCCCAGAGTTCAGGCCCTAGGACCAGACCCCCCCCCCCAAAAAAAAAAAACCCAAGAGAATCATTGCAGGGTGGTGGTGGTGGGGGAGGCTGAGGCCTAAGAAAAGAGGTATAGATGACCAGGTGCTGGTGGCTCATGCCTATAATCCTAGCTACTCAGGAGATTGAGATCTGAGGATCATGATTTGAAGCCAGCTTGGGCAGGAAAGTCATGAAACGCTTCTCTCCAATTAACCACTAGAAAACTGGAAGTGGTGCTGTGGCTTAACGTGGTAGAGTGCTAGCCTTGAGTGAAAAAGCTCAGGGACAGCACCCAGACCCTGGGTTCAAGCCCCACGACTGAAAAAAAAAAATAAAAAGAAAAGAGGCACAGATTTTGCGCTATAGGCTCTGACGTGGCTACTGGTCTTGTCCACTCTACGTAAACAAGCTGGCACACTAGAGTCCTGAGTAGATGGAATGTTTCTACAGAATTATCTGTGGCTCAAGGAGGAAGAAACTAATGATCCCATTGTTCTAGCCCTGTTACTTTACAGTAAATAAAGTGACCTCTAGAAAATTTGCTAGAGGGCTGGGAAGGTGGCTTAGTGGTAGAGTGCTTGCCTCACTCACATGCATGAAGCCCTGGGTTCTATTCCTCAGTACCACATATACAGAAAAATCTGAAAGTGGCACTGTGGCCTAAGTGGTAGCAAAAGAAACAAAAGAAGCTCAGGGGGAGTGCCCAGGCCTAGAGTTCAAGCCTAGGATTAGCCACACAAAAAAAAAAGTTTTCTGGGGTTAAGGGTCTTGCTTAGCAGTAGACCAGGTGCTTAGCATGCCCAAGGCTTTAGATTTCATCCTTCACATTGTAAAAATGAAAAAGAACTGGTAATTGCAAAACTCTTCACTCATCCAACTCCTCTTGCTCTCCTTGGATTACCTGTGGCTAATCCATGATGAAAGGTCCGAAGAAGGGCTGGGGCTGTAGCTTAGTAGGAGAGCACTTGCCTAGCATGTGCTATGCCCTAGATTCCACTTCTGGGTCAAAGGAGGCTTGGAAATGTTTTCTCTGATGGCAGGAGAGCTGTCTCTTGAGTTGTTATGGTTTTCTTTCAGGTGTGTCCTGGCCGGGAAGGCCCCATCTTCTTTGGGGATGAACAGCATGGTTTTGTGTTCAGTCACACCTTCTTCATCAAAGACAGCCTGGCCAGGGGCTTCCAGCGCTGGTACAGCATCATCACCATCATGATGGACCGGATCTACCTCATCAACTCCTGGCCCTTCCTGCTGGGGAAGATCCGAGGGATCATTGATGAACTCCAGGGCAAGGCCCTCAAGGTGACACTGGGGTCAGGAATAATGGTGGCATCTTCACTGAGGGCACAGGCAGCTGTGTTCCTCTTCTCTGGGCAGCTGCTGTGCACCCAACTTGTTCTCTTGGCTTCAGAGTTGAGGATGAGTGATGCACCTGCTGGCCAGCCCATCTGTTCTGGCCTTGCCTGTACCACCATCCTGTCTCTCTTTCAGTCTGGCTTCTTCTCTTTGGTCTTTGCTTCCTTTGCCCTTCCTGTTGCAACTGTCCATTGGTCTGTCTTGACCTGTACCTAGCTTAGCCCTCTCAGGACTGGCAGGCATGGTCTGGTGACAATCCTTACATTGTAGTGGTTCCAGATGGATGAAGCTGTTCCTTGAGCCATCCTGGGGGTACACCTCTGGGTGTTGGGGGCCCTGTGTCTGTCCTCTGGAGTGGCTGCTAGAGTTAGTCATCTGGGCAGCTATTGAAGAGGACACTCTCCCCTTTGCATTTCAGGTATTTGAGGCAGAGCAGTTTGGGTGCCCACAACGTGCCCAGAGAATGAACACAGCCTTTACACCGTTCCTGCACCAGAGGAATGGCAATGCTGCTCGCTCGCTGACCTCCTTGACCAGTGATGACAACCTGTGGGCATGTCTGCATACCTCCTTTGCCTGGTAACACTTCCTGGGGCTTGGCAGCTGTTAGCACTCACTGGATTGGTTGGATCATCACAACTTCGGAGAGCAGCTCTTGGCCAAAGTTGCTGGCCATTTCCCAGTAATGCTGACCCATGGGCACTAATGAATGAGCAAGGGAGCCTTGTACTCAAGGGATAGTCCTCTCCTGGCCTCAATCACACAATGTCACACAGTTAGGTGGAGCTCGCTTCCTATGATATGCAAACCATTTCTGTGGCAACATAGCGAAACTCTCTCTGAAGAAAATACACAGTAAACATCTGGCTCAGGTCTCAGGAAAAGTTTTCATTGGCAGGGCCTTCATTAGTGAAGTCTGACTTGGGCCACTTCTGAAGTGGCTCCTTCCAAGGACCAGTGCAGTGTGCAGTAGAGGCCTCTTGGAGCCCATGTCCCTAGATTGACTGGAGAATGGGGTGGAAACCACAAAGCCTTAGGCCCTGGCTCTGTAGTATATGTGTCCTTTGTAGGTGTTTAGTAGAAGCATGCTGTGTTACTAAACCCAGGCCAGCCAAAGGAAGATTGAACTCTAGTGCTGGCAAGGAGGAGGGTCAGTGAGTTAGTGGACGTACTAGATTCCAGTCTTTCCTGGCCACATGTGCACTGTTCTGTCCCTTGTCCCCTTATAGATAGGCCTTGTTCTCATCGTTGTGTAGATCTTGTCTTGGAGTGAGTTCCTGCAGGTCCAGTTCCTGAGGAAAAATACCTGCTCCCACCGAACATATAGTTACTCCTATATTTAAAACATTCTTTGAAGTTGACAAGTAAAAATTAAATCACATACACTTGTGCTACACAGCAGTATGTGTAGTATGCAAGCATGTGCTGCCTAATGGCAGTTCAGTTAGTAGCCACCTCAGTAGGGGAGTTCTCTCAAGATCGGCTTGCCTGAGGATGTTCACCTCAGCTCTGTGGTGTCCACAGTGACAGCGTTGCTCAAGTGTTCACATTACTTTACCTTGTCATCCTTTTCTTTGTGATGAAAACACTTAAAGCTTTACTGAGCTTGCTCGTCCTACATTTGAAAACCATTTTCATTATGGAATTTCACAGGCTCAGAATAGAGCAGACAGTGCAGTAAGCCTCCAGGTCTAGCATTTATACCAGTTCACTTTTCTTTTCCCTGACCCTTCACTTTTTTTTTTGTGCATTCTTGGGGCTTGAACTCTGGGTCTGGGCACTGTCCCTGAGCTTCTTTTTTTTTTTTTTTTTTTGGTCCGGTCATGGGGCCTGAACTCTGGGCCTGGGCGCTGTCCCTCAGCTCTTCAGCTCAAGGCTGAAGAGCTCTACCACTTGAGCCACAGTGCCACTTCTGGCTTTTTTCTTTTTGCTTATGTGGTGCTGGGGAATCGAACCCAGGGCCTCAGGGATGCAAGGCAAGCGCTCTACCACTGAGCCACCTTCCCAGCCCCGTCCCTGAGCTTCTTTTGCTCAAGGTTAATGCTCTATCAGTTAAGCCACAGATCCACTTCAGGGTATTTTGGTGGTTAATTGGAGATAAGAATCTCACAGACTTTCCTGCCCAGGCTGTCTTTGAACTGTGATCCTAAGATCTCAGCCTCCTGAGTAGCTAGGATTACAGGCATGAGGACCTGGCTGTCCCTTCACTGTTTTCCTAGAATATTTTTAAAGCAAATCTTTGTTGTATCATTGCAACTACAAGTATATCCATAATACCATTATCCTACCTTACAGAATTGACTGGTTCCTTAGTGTTAGCCAGTGCATTCATGTTAGGTCTTTTGTCTCTGAGATGACTTTGCATCAGGATCAGAACAAACAGTTCCTCTCATTTCTTTTTTTTTTTTGGTTGGTCATGGGTTTGAACTCCGGGCTTGGGCGCTGTCCCTTCAGCTCTTCAGCTCAAGGTGAGCGCTCTACCGCTTGAGCCACAGTGCCACTTCTGGTTTTCTAGTGGTTTATTGGAGATAAGAGTCTCACGGACTTTCCTGCCCGGGCTGGCTTTGAACTATGATCCTCAGATCTCAGCCTCCTGAGTTGTTAGGATTACAGGTGTGAGCCACCGGCACCCGGCAGTTCCTCTCATTTCTTCCTCACACTTTTTTATTTTTATTTTTTTGGTTGTGGGGCTTGAACTCTGGGCCTGGGCACTGTCCCTGAGCTCTTCAGCTTAAAGTGAGCGATCTACCACTTGAGCCACAGTACCACTTCTGGTTTTTTGGTGGTTACTTGGAGATGAGACTTTCCTGTCTGGGCTGGCTTTGAACCATGATTCTCAGATCTCAGCCTCCTGATGTTCCTCACACTTTTTAATGAATTACCTGGGTTGTGTCTTGCAGAATGGCTGAGTGTCCAGATAGGGACATCGGGTACACTCAGGCCTGATTGTCCAGGCCAAAGGCCTTATGTTTTTACTCTTGTAAGGAACCTCACAGCTGGTGCTGTTTTCTCCAGGCTTCTGAAAGCATGCGGCAGCCGACTGACTGAGAAGCTCCTGGAGGGTGCACCGACTGAGGACACCTTGGTCCAGATGGAGAAGCTTGCTGGTGAGGCTGGGTGTTACTGTTGGGGCCCTTTTCCTGTGGTGGGGGTGGGGAGTAGCCCAGCAGGAGGAGCTGCTATAGGGAAATGTGTCTGAATAAACCAGATGAGCCTTGGTAGTTCTGTGTGATTCTTCTTTCCTTCCTCCTCTTTCTCTCTCCTTGAAAGAGTCTGTTCTCCAGGGAGTTTGGAAAAGTAACCGTTACGACTGCCTATAGAAAGGACTGAGAGATTGAAAATTTTCTGCCCCTGTTGTATGATGATAGCCATATGCCTGGTGTTGTAGCAATTCTCTTAAGGTTTGCTTGGAATAAAGAATGTTGTTTCTGTTGGACCTAAGTTTTCCATCCAGAGCGTTGGTTCCCCAGCCTCCCAGGGTCTGGCCTTCCCCTCACATTCATGATTGAACCTCCAAACCTGGGGATGAGTCCCCTTTTTGTTGCTGTCTTCCCAAGAGATCCTGGTGTGGGGTACCCAGATAATCCTCAGTTCCCATAGCTGTGGGGTGGGGAGCAATGGTCATTTGCAGTGTATGTTGTGCAGTTTGTTTGCTGACAGTGCTTCCTGTGCCTTTTTTTCCCCCCTAGTCCTGGGGCTTGAACTTAGGGCCTTGGTACTGTCCCTGAGCTTCTTTTTTGCCTAAGGCTAGTACTCTACCACTTGAGCCACAATGCCACTTCTTGCTTTTTGTGCTTATGTGGTGCTGAGGAATTGAACCCAGGGCCTCATGCATGCAAGTCAAGCACGCTACCACTGAGCCACCTTCCCAGCCCCCCTTCTGTGCTTTTTTAAGGATGGTCCTTCTAAATAGTTGAAACATTTTTCTCTGGCAGTACTGGAGTTTGAAGTCAGGTACTTGTGGTTGCTAGGTAAGATGCCCTGTCCCTTGAGCCACCAGTTCTAAATGGAGCTCTTCCAAGGTTTTCCCTGCACCCACTTGTGTTCCTGAGGGCTCTTCTGTGAGGCCACTCGGGAATAAGGTCTTCATGAAAGCAGGGCACACTCAGAGAAGACAGGCCCTGCCACTGCCCGCCTGTCCTCCTGCTCATTTGGCCATCGGCGGCTTACTACTGTGCCACTCACAGACTCGCACACCAGTTCATGCAGTCATGACGTCTAGGTGAGAAGTCAGGTCCTCTACAGCTTTCTGGAGAGGGAGACAAGCAGGTGAGTGAGGCTCTCTGCCATGCCTGCACTGTGTTGGGTCACGAAGGAACTACGGGTGGGCTTAGGCCTCAACTCAGGTGTCAGACCTGACCTCAGATCCTTGCTCTGCTGCCCATGGGCCTCCCTGCCCCAGGTCTCATCATGACATGCAACGGAGGTGTGATTGTGAGGTCTGCCATAAAGATTAATTGAAGTAACAAGTCTGTGCCTTCATCTGTGAGTGTGAATGAGGATGTTGACCCAGGATGTTGGGGAGGACTGAGTGAAGCAGTGTGTGGAGCCCCAGGAAGGGCTCCTGCAGAAGAGCACAGGACACATGCTCTGTAGCACTTGGTTGGTTTGAACTTTTCCACCCATGGGGAGCAACTTTGCATTTTTCAGTGAGAGGTTCTGAACTGTGTCCTCCCTGGACCAAATAAATGCCTTCCTGCCTTCCCAGTGCCTGGGGCAACAGGCACCAGATAGATGAACACAGCCAGGAAACAACAGCTGGTATTGTAGCCACACCATCCCTGGGGCTAGTGTGATCACCGGAGGAGGCTACATTCCATACCTGTCCATTCCATACCTGTCCTTGTTGTCTGTCTTGTAGACTTAGAGGAGGAATCGGAAAGCTGGGACAACTCAGAGGCGGAAGAGGAGGAGAAAACCCCTGTGTTGCCTGAGGGCGCGGGAGGACGGGAACTGACCAAATGTCCTACAGATTCATCCTTGCTCTCAGACTGTGGCAACTGGCAGCCCCGAAAGCTCTCAGTCTTCAAGTCTCTTCGACACATGAGACAGGTAAGCAGCAAATGTACATATAGTCCCAGGAGCAAACCCAGGAGAAGTGTTCAGACTTCTCCATCCAGTATACATTGTCTTCTGGGCCTATCCTCTTCCAGCCAGGAGTGACCAGCAGTGGGAGGCTGAAAGTACAGTGGCCATTGAGATGTGTTAGACCCGGAAGCAGAGCTCTTTTAGTGCAGTGTAGGTTTAGAGAAAAGCCTGGCTGTTTTCTGCAGACTCCTAATCTTTGTTATTCTAGACTCTTCTGAAAGGATCAGATTGTACTGTTATTGTGTACATGCAGCTTAGACTCTGTGGCTCATGCTTGTAATCCTAGCTTCTCAGGAGGCTAAGATCTGAGACTCGTGGTTCAAAGTCAGCTCATGCAAACAAATCCAGCTAACCAGCAAAAAGCTGGAACTGGAGGTTTGGTGCAAGTGGTAGCACACCAGCTATGAGTAGAGAACCCAAACAAGTGTGAAACCTGGAGTTCAAACCTAGTCTCAGCAAAAACCAGACCAAAACAAAGAAAAAAAAACATGCTTCGTAGTCCCTTTTTTTTTTTTTTGGCTGGTCATGGGGCTTGAACTCAGAGCCTGAGTTCTCTCAGAACCTGGGTAGCTAGGATTACAGGTGTGAGCCACCAGCACCAGCAAGTCTTGTCTTTAAGCATACAACTCCAGGCTTCCCACTTTCCCTGTCAGCCTCCATGGGAAGAGAACTCAGGGTCTAAGCACTGTCCCTAAGCTCTTTTTGCTCAAGGCTAGTGTCCTACCACTTTGAGCCACAGCGCCACTTCTGGTTTTGTGGTGGTTAATTAGAGATAAGAGTCTCATGGACTTTCCTGCCTGGGCTGGCTTTGAACCACAATCCTCAGACCCCAGCCTCTTGAGTAGCATGAGCTACCAGCACTCAGCTTCATAGCCTATTTTAAGCTGTTTGATTTCAAAGTCATTTTTGGCCAACACTCCTCTTCTGAAATGTCATTGTTGGGAGGTTAATGTCCAAGGTGGGTAGGAGAGCCTGTGCTGGGTTAGAGTAAAGTGGGGACAAATGGAAAGCGTCAAGGACACTGATGGCTCCTGTAGCTGTAAAGGAGGCTGGGTAGCCTAGTTTGGGCTGTGCTGGCAAACCCCATGTCCTTCATGTTCCTGAGGTGTGCCTGCTGCAGATCACTACCAAGTAGTTCAGCACAGCAAAGTGCATCTATAGAGGAGGTGACTTGCACAAAGTGGTACCTTTGTGCTTCAAAATAGCATCAGGGGAAGGATATTTCAGTGGAAGAATTTTGGAATCTTGTTTTTATTTTTTATTTTTGTTGGTTGTGGGGCTTTGAACTTGGGGCCTGGGTGCTGAGCTCTTGATGTTCAAGGCCGGCCTACTACCACTCTGAGCCACAGCGCCACTTCTAGTTTTTTGGAGCTTAATTGGAGATAAGAGTCTCACAGACTTTCCTACCTGGGCTGGCTTTGAATCTCAGTCTTCAGATCTCAGCCTCCTGAGTAGCTAGGATTATAGATGTGAGATTACAGGTGTGAGCCACCAGTACCTGGCAAGTCTTTCTTGTCTTTAAGTGTACAAATCAAGGCTTCCTGTGATTCCTATCAGCCTGCCTAGGAAGATAAGCGTCTCTGTCCTCTTTTTCACAGTCTCCTTTGATATGCAGAGAAATTTTCTAAATACACACAGAAAATAACTTCCAGCAGAGGGGAGAGAAGTTAATTATGAGAATGCAGAAAGTACTGTGTGCTGTGTTTCAGGTCCTGGGTGCCCCGTCTTTTCGCATGTTAGCCTGGCATGTCCTCATGGGCAACCAGGTGATCTGGAAAAGCAGAGATGTGGACCTTGTGCAATCAGCGTTCGAAGTTCTCCGGGTGAGAGCATCATTTACTTATGTACTGTGTGGCCAGGCTGTGTCGGCTTAGTGTCTTTGGATGTGACTGTGACTACTAGCAGAGAACCTTGTGAGCCATCTGCTCCAATCTAGGACCTAACAATGACAGTCATTACCATTACCTTTTTTTTTTTTCTTGTACTAGTCCTGAGGCTTGAACTAGGAGCCTGGACACTGTTCCTTAGCTTTTTTTTTTTTTGTTGGTTGTGGGGCTTGGGCGCTGTCCTCGCGCTCTTCAGCTCAAGGCAAGCGCTCTACCGCTTGAGCCACAGCACCACTTCCAGTTTTTTCTAGTGGTTAATTGGAGGTAAGAGTCTCACAGACTTTTCTGCCTGGGGTGGCTTTGAACCATAATCCTCAGATCTCAGCCTCCTGGGTAGCTAGGATTACAGGTGTGAGCCACTGGCACCCGGCTTTCCTTAGCTTTTTTAGCTCAAGACTGGTACTCTGCCACTTGAACCACATCTCCACTTCTGGCTTTTTGGTGGTTAATTGGAGATAAGAGTATCAGCCTGGACTGTCTTTGAACCACAATCCTTAGATCTCAGCCTCCAGAGTAGTTAAGATTAAAGGTGTGAGCCACCGGCACCTGGTATCATTCCCATTCTCTATCTCTAGTGGAAAGTCTTGTCCTGGAAGACTGATAACTTCCCTGTCTACTGTTCCCCACTCCTCCAAGAAGCCATCTTACAGGTGTTCTTGAGAGGGGAAGGGTGAGCAGAGCATGCTAGCACAGCTGCCCTGATGCCAACAAGGTAGGAGTCAATGTATGAGTGATGGTCAGGATAGGAGTTGGGGGCCTCTTGGTGGGAGACCACCCTGAGGGACCAGGACACCCCCTGGAGAGAGGCTGTGAGCCAGCTGCAGAGGGTGTTTCAAGTTGGGGTGTGTGGGCAGGTGGGACTGTGATGGGTTCTGAGCTACCCTGTCCTCCGCAGACCATGCTGCCTGTGGGTTGTGTCCGCATCATCCCATACAGCAGCCAGTATGAGGAGGCCTATCGCTGCAACTTCCTCGGGCTCAGCCCGCATGTGCCCATCCCTGCCCATGTGCTGGCCTCAGGTGTGTGCCTTTGTGGGATGTGCCCTTCCTGCTGCTCTGGGAGGTTCCCCAGCTTATAGTGGAACTGGATCTTAGTCACGGATTTGAGGGTGTGGCCTGCTGTTCTTGAAGGCACCTGCTTTCCCAGTGGCTGGGGGCTTCCCTTTCCTGACTTTGGAATGGGTGGGGACCTGAAAGTCAGGGTGGTTCACACAACTGTGCTTCTCACAGCCTGCGTCCTGAGCCCTACTTCGCTGCCTTACTTTGGGTCATGTAGGAACATGAAAGCTCTGCTTTCTGAGGTGGCTCTGAGTGTCTTACACCAACAGCTGAGTGACTTTAGGCAAGTTCAGGAGCTCTCAGGCCTGTCCTGTCTGTAGAATGGGAACGTGGTGGGGTGGGCTATATATGAGTGCCATGGTGCATATAATTGTGATTGTTGTAAGAAATTACTAGTTTAACTGAGGCCAAAAATGAGTCCTTAACTCTGTTCACAAAAGGTTTTAAACACCACAGCATCATTCTCAGGAGACCTTTGCTCTGGCAAAGTACAGTGCGCAGGGTGTTCCTGGCTCACGTGAGATAACTTTGGATGAGCTTGTTAAGAGGTGACCACAGGATGGTGTATTTTGTGTTGCTACAGAATTTGTGGTGATCGTGGAGGTTCACACAGCCACGCGCTCCACCCTCCACCCAGTTGGGTGTGAGGATGACCAGTCTCTCAGCAAGTACGAGTTTGTGGTGACCAGTGGAAGCCCTGTGGCTGCAGACCGAGGTAGGTACCACTGTGTGGGGGTTGTCCTCTGGCAGGGAGGGAGGAGTAGCAGGACCTGCCTTTCATCCAGTGCTGCTGCCCCTTGTGCCTCTGCCTCATCCACAGTTGGCCCTACCATCCTGAATAAGATTGAAGCTGCTCTCACCAACCAGAACCTGTCTGTGGACGTGGTGGACCAGTGTCTCGTCTGCCTCAAGGAGGAGTGGATGAAGTAAGCATCTGGCCTTAGCTACCAGAACTTCCCAGAGAGGGCAAAGCTGTCCATGGAGCAGGCTCTGCTGGGGAAAAAACAGTTTCTGGGAAAGAGGTTATGTAGTGGCCCCTGAGTGTATAGAAGTAGAGGTTAAGAGCAGGGTTCAGATATCAGCCCTGCCACTTAGGAATCTGGTGACCTTGGGAAGGTCTGGCAGATTTTTCTGCCTGGCTGGTCCTTGAACTTCAGTTCTCTCGATCTAAATCTCAGTCTCCTGAGTGGGTAGGATTACAGGTGTGAGCTACTAGCACCCAATTCCCCTCCTCCTTTTTTTTTTTTAATACTGGGCATTGGACCTAGGTCTTTACCCATATTGGGCAAGTACCACATTACTGAGCTATACCCTTGCCTGATCCTTTCCCTTCCTGCCTTTCTTTTGTTCCCCCTTTGGTGGTAAGTGAATTTGAACTCATCAAGTTTCTTTTTTTTTTTTCCATTTTTTTCTCCCACCCCCTCCCTACTCATCAAGTTTCTTAGGCAGGTACTTCATCACTTGAGTCAGGCCCTAAACCCTACTTCCTTTTCTTTTCTTTTTTTTTTTGTCGGTCGTGGGGCTTGAACTCTGGGCCTGGGCGCTGTCCCTCAGCTCTTCAGCTCAAGGCGAGCACTCTACCACTTGAGCTTCAGCGCCACTTCCGGTTTTCTGGTGGTTTATTGGAGATAGGAGTCTCATGGTTTCTTCTGCCCGGGCTGGCTTTGAACCGCAATCCTCAGATCTCAGCCTCCTGAGTAGCTAGGATTACAGGCGTGAGCCACCAGCGCCCGGCTCTACTTCCTTTTCTTTAAAAGCATATGTTGTTTTCTTGTGTCTTGACTCTTTGCTATTTTCCTCAAGGTTTTAGTTAGCCAGACAAGGAAGCTCAGAAACAACTTGTTTCTTCCATGAGGTTTTTTTTTTGTTTGTTTTGACGGTTGTGGGGCTTGAACTCTGGACCTGGGTGCTATCCCTGAGCTCTTCAGCTCAAGGCTAGCACTCTACCACTTGAGCCACAGCACCACTTCTGTTTTTCTGAGTGGTTTATTGGAGATGAGTGTCGCATGGACTTTCCTGCCTAGGCTGGCTTTGAACCTTGATCCTCAGATCTCAGCTGAGTAGCTAGGATTACAGGTGTGAGCCAATGGCACCTGGCTATAGGCTACAACTCCCTGCCCCCCCTCCCCCTCCCGCCCAGTGGAGCTTGAACTCTAGGCCTGGGTGCTGTCCCTGAGCTCTTCAGCTCAAGGCAAGCATTCTACCACTTGAGCCACAGCGCCACTTCCTTTTTTCATTTTCTTTCTTTTTCTTTTTTTTCCGATGAGTCTCCCTGTGTTGCCCAGAGAGTTTGTATGCTCAGATTATTTTCCTGCCTAGCCTCCTGAGTAGCTGGGACTACAGGCATGCCATATCATGCTTGGCTCTTGCTCAGTTTGCTGTGTTGATAGTAGTCTATTCCCTTGGGCTAGATAGAGGTCCTAAGTGAGTAGCTGTTTTTCTGAACCCTTTCAACTGAGTGTGATTTCCCTTAGGGCCTACAGGGCCCTCACAGTTCTAGAAGCTGTTTAGGCCCCATGAGCAGAGCTCTGGTGCTTGGGCTGTGGCTCTGAGTGTGTATTTTTGTGTTTTTGCAGCAAAGTAAAGGTCCTGTTTAAATTCACCAAGGTGGACAGTCGCCCCAAAGAGGACACGCAGAAGCTCCTTAGTGTCCTGGGTGCATCAGAGGAGGACAATGTCAAATTGCTGAAGTTCTGGATGACAGGCCTGAGCAAGACCTACAAGTCCCACCTCATGTCTACAGTCCGCAGCCCCACAGCCTCAGAGTCTCGTAACTGACCTGAGGAGCATCTGAGTCTACATCTGGAATGCACCATCCTCCAGCTGCAGAGAGGAGGGCTGCTAGGGTTTCTCAGCTGCAGTGTGGAACACTCAACAAGTGCAAGTCACTGGGTTGGCCTTTGCTGTGCTTGTGGGGCTGGAAGGCAGGCGGAGGGGGAGACAGTAGGTCTCTGTGTTGGGCACTCAGGCGCAGGTGCCTGTGCCTCTGGAGAGCCAGGTGGGTGGGCCAGGCCCGACTCGAGTGTGTGAGCTGCAGGAACTGCCTGCTCTTGGAGTTAACATCACAGCACTTCCCTCTTTGAAACTTAGCAGTTTCCTGGGTTTGTGATTGTGTTTTGCCACACTTGTGAATATTCAAGATATCCATCCATCCACAGTCTCTTTTGGCAACTTGCTTAGACCCCTGTGAAGGCTCTTGGTGAAGCTGTGTTGCCCATCTCTGGGCATCTGAAAGTTCATGTTGCTCTGAAGTCATGGTCCATGGGGCTTGAACATGCAGTTCAAGGATGAAGACTCTGATTTCTAACAAAGATGAGAGGCTTTGCGGAAGCATTCGGTCCTTCCCCCTTGTCTAGCCCAACTGAAGGCACCACGGCCCACCATGACTATCCTGTGTCATTTCCCCTCTGTTGTCTTCACCATTTATTGTCACTGCAAGTAACTGCTTCCAGTGTGGCATTACCACACCATACAGTTTTATAAAGGACTCAAGTCTTGGGAAGATCTTTGGCAAATTTCCCAATTCGTTTATAGTTTTCTGTTTATATTTAACGTGAAGATTGAGTTTGTGTTTAGTTCTCTGTATAATGCAAGAACATTGCGACACAGTAAATACGTTATTTTTGTAAATTGCTGACTGCATAGTTTTTTTGTTTGAGCCTAATGACAAGCTGTGTTTACTCCCAGGAAATAGTGTTGCTTACCAGGGGAGGGGTGCAGAGCAGGGAACAGCAGGTGGTCCGTTGTGCAAACATCATAGACTACAGATGGGACCAGTGTTGTATGCGTAATCCATGAGTGCTGAAATATGGCTACATGGAACATATTACGGTTATGACAACACCAGAGTGTGGCCAGTGCTAGGTGGGGTGGAAGTATAAGCCACTGTGATCTTGGTCAGTGTTCTGGAACTTCCTTTGTGGAGCTGGTAGTAGAGAGAGGCTAAAACTCGTGGAGGGTCTACTACCGTGTCCCTTTGCATTCTGTCCAATCTCAGGAAATGGCCCAGTGCCAGCACATATTTAGGAGGAAGGTGTTGGGCTACCTCACTGTGAAAGTGACAGACACTAGAATTGGAAGATGTGTGTTTTGACCATGTAATTGGGGGGAGTTATGCCCTGCACAGTTAAGGGCAAATGGAGAAGGGGTGCATGCCTCATATCCTTGCAGCTTTAGGGATGAGTCCTTGTACGTTTTTAGTGTGTGACAGCCCCTGGGTCACTGTACTGTGTTCAAATAAGCTTCTTTGCCAGTTGTCAGCCAGTTGGGTGATTAAGTCCACTTGTTAAGTAGGAGAATGTGCTAGCTTTACATTATTTCACCAGAAGGGAGCAGGTGTTTCCAAGGAAAATAAAGCTGTGAGAATGAGCCCATAGGCTCCAGTGCTGACTAGGCTTTTTATGCTGCTGTAGGCCTTCTCCCTGAAAATAGTGCACATGTTTTTCTTTCTTATCATGTGCATGTCTATATGAATAACTGCTAATAAAAGTTAAGAACTGGCCAGGTGCTGGTAGCTTATGCATGTTATCCTAGCTACTCAGGAGGCTGAGATCTGAGGATCATGTTTCAAAGCCAGCCTGGGCAGGAAAGTCCATGAGACTCTTTTTTTTTGGGGGGGGTCCGGTCGTGGGGTCTGCACTCTGGGCCTGGGCGCTGTCCCTCAGCTCTTCAGCTCAAGGCTAGCGCTCTACCACTTGAGCCACAACGCCACTTCCAGCTTTTTTCTTTTTGCTTATGTGGTGCTGAGAAATCGAACCCAGGGCCTCATGCATGCAAGGCAAGCGCTCTACCACTGAGCCCCTTTCCCAGCCTGTCCATGAGACTCTTATCTCCAATTATCCACCAGAAAACTGGAAGTGGTGCTGTGGCTCAAATGGTAGAGTACTCGCCTTGAGCTGAAGAGCTCAGGGGCAGCATCCAGGCCCAGAGTTCAAGCCCCACAACCAACCAAAAAAAAAAAAAGTTAAGAACTTTACTGGGCCAGGCACTAGTGATGCACACCTGTAATCCTAGCTACTCAGGAGGCTGAGATCTGAGGGTTGCGGTTCAAAGCCAGCTGGGCAGTAAAGTCCATGAAATGCTTATCTCCAATGAACGACCAGAAAACCAGAAGTAGAGCTGTGGCTCAAAGTGGTAGAGTGCTAGCTTTGAGTGAAAGGAGCTCAGGGACAGCATCTAGGCCCTGAGTTCAAGCCCCATGACTGACAAAAACAGACAACAAAAAAATCTCAAAACTTTACTGGGATCTTCTACTTTTTTTTTTTTTGGCCAGTACTGGTGTTTGAACTCAGGACCTCATGGTTTGCTCAGCCTGCTCATTCATGGCTGGTTTTCTACCACTTGACTTGTGCTTCCAGTCCCGTGTGTGTGTGTGTGTGTGTGTGTGTGTGTGTGTGTGTGTGTGTGTGTGTGTGTGTGTGTGTGTGTGTGTGTGTGTGTGTGTGGACCTCATGGTTTGCTCAGCCTGCTCATTCATGGCTGGTTTTCTACCACTTGACTTGTGCTTCCAGTCCCCTGTGTGTGTGTGTGTGTGTGTGTGTGTGTGTGTGTGTGTGTGTGTGTGTGTGTGTGTGTGTGTGTGCTTCCAGTCCCCTGTGTGTGTGTGTGTGTGTGTGTGTGTGTGTGTGTGTGCTTCCAGTCCCCTGTGTGTGTGTGTGTGTGTGTGTGTGTGTGTGTGTGATGTGTGTATAAAGAAAGAACGAAAGAAAGAAAGAAAGAAAAAAGGAATATACAGGGCTTGAACCCTTAGCTTTTTTTTTTCCCTAAAGACTGCCATTCTACCACTTGGGCCACACCTCCATTTCTGGTTTTTTTGCTGGCTAATTGGGGAGGTACAAGTCATATACTTTCCTGCTCTGACTGACTTCTAACTGTGATCCTTAGATCCAAGCCCTCTGAGTAGGTAGGGCTGTTATGAATCATCAGTGCCCTGGCTCTGGTATATTTATTTATTGGCTGTTAATTGGAGACTTTGCTGCCTGGGCTGGCTTTAAACCACAATCTTCAGATCGCAGCCTCCTCAACAGTTAGGATTACAAGTGTGAGTCATTAGTGCCTGGATTAATTTCTGAATTTTAAACCTATCCTTTCCCTCTCGCCTTTCCCTAGTCCTAGGGCTTGAATTCAGAGGCTGGGTGCTGTTCTTGAATTTTGTTTTTGTTTTTGTTTTTTTGGTCCGGTCGTGGGGCCTGGACTCTGGGCCTGGGCGCTGTCCCTCAGCTCTTCAGCTCAAGGCTAGCACTCTACCACTTGAGCCACAGTGCCACTTCCAGCTTTTTTCTTTTTGCTTATGTGGTGCTGAGGAATCAAACCCAGGGCCTCAGGCATGCAAGGCAAGCACTCTACCACTGAGCCACCTTCCTAGCCCTGTTTTTTTTTTTTTGGGGGGGGGGGGGGGAGTCTGGTCATGGGGCCTGAACTCTGGGCCTGGGCGCTGTCCCTCAGCTCTTCAGCTCAAGGCTAGCGCTCTACCACTTGAGCCACAGCGCCACTTCCGGCTTTTTTCTTTTTGCTTATGTGGTGCTGAGGAATCAAACCCAGGGCCTCATGCACGCAAGGCAAGTGCTCTACTACCGAGCCACCTTCCCAGCCCCTCCTGAGCTTTTTTGTTCGTTTTTTTTTTGGTCAGTTGTTGGGCCTGCACTCTGGGCCCGGGCACTGTTCCTCAGCTCAAAGCGAGCACTTGAGCCACAGCTGACCACTTCCATCTTTTTCTGCTTATGTGGTATTGAGGAATTGAACTCAGGGCCTCATGAATGCAAGGCAAGCACGCTACCACTGAGCTACCTTCCCAGCCCTTATTCAAGATTAATGCTCTACCACTTGAGTCACAGCTCCACTTCCAACTTTACTTTTTTTTGGGGGGGGGGTCCGGTCGTGGGGCCTGACTCTGGGCCTGGGCGCTATCCCTCAGCTCTAGCTCAAGGCTAGCGCTCTACCACTTGAGCCACAGCGCCACTTCTGGCTTTTTTCTTTTAGCTTATGTGGTGCTGAGGAATCGAACCTAGGGCCTCATACATGCAAGGCAAGCACTCTACCACTGAGCCAACTTCCCAGCCCCCAACTTTACTTTTATTGATCTATTTTTGGTGGCTAATTGAAAATAAAGTCTTATGGGCTTTCCTGCCTGGTCTGGCTTTGAATTGTTGTCTTCAGGTCTTAGCCTTCTGAGTAGCTAGGATTACAGGTGTGACCCACCAGAGCCTGGCTAAAGATGTTTTTCTTTTTTAAAAAATATTTTTAGTTGCTGCTCCAGGGATTGCAAGGTGCATCTTTTTTTTTTGGTCAGATTCAGTGAACAGTATGCCAAATTTATCACTTGAAAAATTCATGTGAGCCAGATGGCGGTGGCTCACGCCTGTAATCCTAGCTACTCAGGAGGCTGAGGTCTGAGGATGTTGGTTCAAAGCCAGTACGGGCAGGAACATGTGTGAGACTCTTACCTCCAATAAACCACTAGAAAACTGGAAGTGGTGCTGTGGCTCAAGCAGTAGAGCGCTCACCTTGAGCTGAAGAGCACAGGGACAGCGCCCCGGCCCAGAGTTTCAAACCTCACGACAGACAAAAAAAAAAAATTCATGTGAAAAATTGGGATGCTTGATATTCTCACTATAGATGTTTTATAATTGTATATTATTCTGCATTACATTTCTGCACGTCCTTGGTGTATGTTTTTCCATTACAAGATACCTCCATTTGTTCTATTAATATTCTTTTTCCAAACTGTCAGGTTTAATAACCTTTTCTTCTTTTTTGTTTGTACTGGTTTTTCACCTCAGTGTACCCCCATTGTGATATACTAAAATACAAATGAGAAGATCAGTGTTGCTGGTACCAAGTACCATTTTAAAAAATCACAAATGTGGGGCTGGGAAGGTGGCTCAGTGGTAGAGTGCTTGCCTTGCATGCATGAGGCCATGGGTTCGATTCCTCAGCACCACATAAGCAGAAAAAGCCAGAAGTGGTACTGTGGCTCAAGTAATAGAGTGCTAACCTTGAGCTGAAGAGCTGAGGGACAGCGCCCAAGTCCAAGTTCAGGCCCCACGACTGACAAAAAAGTAAACAAATAAAAATAAAAAATAAAATTTCCTAATTATTTTAAAAAAAACAACCTATAAGTTAATGAAATAACTCATTTGAGGAAATAAATTTTTCCTTAAATCTAGATTATGAGGACTATTCCATAAATCAGCATGAAAATACATCAGAAAATAACATAATGAGTATGATAATATGGGATTTATCTATAAAATATCACTAATATGCTAATAGAAAACTACATCATCATCCTCCATCTTCCTTTGTAAAGAATTTTTTTGTTGTTGTTGTTGGTCATGGGGCCTGAACTCTGGGCTTGGGTGCTGTCCCTCAGCTCTTCAGCTCAAGGCTAGCACTCTACCATTTGAGCCACAGAGCCACTTCTGGCTTATGTGGTGCTGAAGAATCGAACCCAGGGCCTCATGCATGCAAGGCAAGCACTCTACCACTGAGCCACCTTCCCAGTCCCAATTTATTCTTTGTAATAACCATAACATGGGCCCCTTTCCTGGCAACCAGTGGACTATTAGATGTCCCTAGAATCTGGGCCTTCTCCCAGCAGCCTCCACCCTATCTGGCCTGCAGTTAACCTATCTCATCACCCATTATATCAAGGCCTGAGAGAATGCCACCCAGCTGCCTACTCTAGGTGGTGGCTGCCTTGTCTTTGGATAGTCATCTCAAACTCATCATTTGCATCAGTCTGGAGAAGAAAGGGATGTAGTGCTCGTTGCCCAAGCCTGCAAGCTGTTGCTGATGCTGGATATCAGGCATCAGCAGCATGATATGCTCTGTGGTGGACTGTTCTAGTGGGCAAGGCACCACAGCCTCTACTTGGGCAGGTTTCACAATGTCTTTAAGTTGCACTTCCTCAAAACTTTTCTGCTACTCCCTAAATTCAATCTTCATAGGGCCTGACAAGTTTGAAGTGGCATTAGCAGCAAGGGTCTCGGTGTCTGCAGGCATCTTGCCCTCACACTTTGCAAGGTTCAACAGCAGCTCCTGTAGCTCTTCCTTCTTATCCTTCTCCTGGGACAGCTGGTTGACACATTCATCTTTCTCCTTATACAGCTCATCCAGGACTGCCATCTGTTCTTTATAGAGAACTATGGACTCTTCAGTGGTGCTGATATGTTCTGACAGCTGGCTGCATCGATGTTGGAGGTCATCCACCTGACTCTGGAAGTTCATCAGGCAGGTTGTGGAGGAAGCAGATTTTCAGCTTATTCTTGGGTACCTGTGTGTCCTGCCATGGTTCCAGCTCTTGGGGAAGAGGGCCTGTTGCTCCAGCTTTGTCTGGCACTGGGCTACCAGGTTGGCCAGGCATCTGCATTGGGCCTGCTGCTCCTGCAGCTGCTTGCTGAGTTTTATCTTTTTTGATTCAGCAACTAATAGTGCTTTAAGGTAAGAATCCCTCATGGTTTGTGGGTTGGCTACATTCTCCGGGGTAGTCGTGTCAGGTGGAGTTGCCTCCTCACCTTTCTCTTCTTCATGGCTCACTCTTTCACTTTCCCTAGGGGAAGCCAGGACGCTCTTCTGGGCCTGCAGTTGCTCCATCGGTTGTCTAGTTGTTTCCAGGCACTTCAGAGTGTCCCATAACTTTTGAGACACCATCTGGTCCTCCAACTTGATTTGCACTTGCTTCAGCCGCTCCAGCAGCTGGGTCTGCCTCCTAGGTGCTGCTTCAGGGTCTCCTTCGCTGAGTTCGGCTGCTGATTGGAGGCCATGTGCTGATCACAGGTGGCTCTGAGCTCCTGAAGCTGGGCCAGGTACTGGTCATGAAGCTCCTGCAGATCCTGAGCCAGTTGGCTCTCTATCTCAGCCATGTCTTTCCATTCTTCTAACTTCTCTTGCTGTTCCAGCTTCTCCTGAAGATGTTTCTTCATCTGCTGCTCTGAGTTCAGGATGCTGGTGAGCTTCTCCTTCTCACCACTCACTCTGTGGAAAGCATCCTGCAGCTGGCCCAGCTGATTTTTCAGCTCTGAAAGATGCACCTGAGTACATCTTATGGTCTCATGTTCCTTTTTCATTGTCTTGAGGATCTTCCGCAGATCCTCAGCATGCTGATCCTGTTCCTTGGCCTTCTTCTCCAGTCTCCACAGCTGCTCCTCCTGCTGCTCCAGGTTCTGGAGACTGATGCTCTGGTTTTCTTGTACCTGGATGTGAAGTTGTTGCTCCAGGTTCTTTAATTCCTGCATCTGGTAGGTCTGAGCCTGTAGCTGCTGCTCAGCCTGAGATGATCCGGCAGCTTCTTTTGCTCAAGGATAGTACTACCACTTGAGCCACAGCTCTATTTCCAGCTCTTTTGAGAATTTATTGAAGAGTCTCATGGGCTTTTCTGTCTGGGCTGGCTCTGAACTGTAATCATCAAATCTCAGCCTTCTGAATAGCTAGAATTACAGGCGGGAGCCACTGCCGCCTGGCTCAGTCATTTCTTTAAGGAGCACTGGCTCCTTTGCTTGAGTAGGGCATTAGGTGTTTTTTTTGTAAAGTTTTTTTATAATAAAAGAATTCAACAGTGCAAATATCCATTCTTTTTTTTTTTTTTTTGGGTCCGGCTGTGGGGCTTGAACTCTGGGCCTGGGCGCTGTCCCTCAGCTCTTCAGCTCAAGGCTAGCGCTCTACCACTTGAGCCACAGCGCCACTTCTGGCTTTTTTCTTTTTGCTTATGTGGTGCTGAGGAATTGAACCCAGGGCCTCAGGCATGCAAGGCAAGCGCTCTACCACTGAGCCACTTTCCCAGCCCCGCAAATATCCATTCTTTCATAGGTTTACACCATATAAGTTATAATCAATCAGAAATGTTCAATATGGGATCTACACAATATAACAAATAATACAGGACCCAATAAATCTATATTTCACTATTTTCAGAATCTAAGCTTTTGCTGTATTACGTATCCAAGCATCTCTGTAAGTCAAGCTATTAAGCTCTATAGCTAATATTTTCTAAAGAATACCACTTTAAAAGAACTTATATTTTGAAGCTGACATAAGCTAGTAGTCTCTCCTGAACTATGTGCAGAAAACTCATTGTATTATCCCCTAAGGTAATAGGCACTCCCCAAATGGAACAATACACATTCACGCAAGTACAATGTTATCTTTCCCCATCCAAAAATTATGCAGTGAAATAAGACCTGTCAACCACAGCTGACTTAGTTTCAGGAAAACAACATTAGAGAATTGTAACTACATTACTTTCCTAGTCTCACCTTCAGTCATTAGCAGGTGTTTTGTAGGCCACCATGCTATTCATTTTATGGATGGTAGTAGTAAAGGAACTGAGACAGACTTCCTCAGAATTTGTAATGAACTGCGGACCTGACTCCTCCCACTTTTTAGGTACAACCAAATCTTTGTCTGTATAAATCAGCGAATCAAATGAGCAAACAACGTCTAAGAGGGGCAGGAATGTCACTGTTGCTGTGATCTGTCTGATCACTGAATGGATTTCATCTTGGATAGCTTTCTGAGACTTTTCTCTGGGAGCACTGTCGTCTTTTGCAGTCTTGTCACACTCAATATCAAACTGCCATCTTTCAAGGACCTCACCACTTTCAATATTTGAGATGACCACCACCAGTCTCTGGACAGAACACTTGTACAACCAATCTTTCAGTTGTTCTACCACACTGTTAAGATATTTTATGAGCTCAGAATCAGTAGTTACAAGCAAGGTGAGTCCATATTTCTGCACTCGAGTGAAGGTTTCAGATGATATATGCCACACTGATATAAAATGCTGTTGATGCCAAAGGAGAAGAACTCGGCCACGATTTCCGCACTCCCACGCAGGGTGATGCCTTGCTCCTGGGAGAGCTGCAGTGCCATGGTGAGGTCCCCGCCAACAGAGACCCCCGCACGCTGGCACTCCACAGGTCACGACTGCAGCGGGCGCCCGGCACTTGCCCGCCACTGGCATTAGGTGTTTTTATGGCTACTGGCCTGGCATTTCTGAATCCCTTCAAGGGACAAAAGTGGATCGTGTGTTTGTGTGTGTGTGTGTGTGTGTGCATGCGTATATGCATATACTGATGCATGTTTGTTAGGCAACCCTGAATTCTCACTACAGATATCCCTCCATCCTTCCCCCTTGTTTGCCCCTAACTTCCCTGTCTAAAATAGCCTGGCTCCGGTCGGCTGTTGGTACTTACTTCCTGTGTAACCTTGATGTCTACCCTACATTTCCAGAGTTGCTAACCGGTTCCCCTGGACCATAAGTTCCCTGGAAGGGGCTTGTCCACATGCATCTCCTCTGTATTCCCCCTTCCCCACAACCTGTCACAGGCTGTGTTGTAGGGCAGTTGGTCCCAGGAGCTGTCAATCCACTTACAGACAGAAGACTCTTTTTTGCTAAGCAAATTCCTAAGCCTTGATTCAGGAACAGGAATCAGGAAAGCTCTTTAAGTAGCTCTGGCTTTGCTCTGTTACAAGCAGGCCTGGTGTCCACCGAGGGCCATGGCTCCTCTGTGCTCTATGCTCAGAGCTGAGCAAGGACTTCCAGTAACGGAGGTGGGAGGAAATTTGGGGGTTTCTACCTCAATGTGGATTATTCCATGGGCTTCCAGACCCCCATCCCTGCCAGCTGCTCCCCACTGTGACTGTGAACTCATAGTCACAAGCAGCTTAGAACCCCGGGCTGTTGGATAGTGCAGGCTAGGTACACCACACAGGCGCAGCCCATGGTCAGAGTGGCCTTAGGTCAGAGTGGCCTTAGGTCAAGGGGGATTGTGGAAGATACACACCTGGGAAAGAGACTGGAGGACAGACTGATGCCTCATTTCATTCTCCTTGTGAACCGACGGTGTAATAGAGAAAATGGAGTCTCCCTTCCCTCGGTCAGGTATGCCAAGGGAACACAGGAATCTGGCCAAGCTGCACAGAGTCTGATGTCAGGTTGCTAAGCTTGGGACCGGGCAGGATAGGGATGGGGACCGGGCCCTGGCCCATCTCAGGGCTGTCTGGGTCATGGCCAGGGCTTGGCAGCCTGGAGCGCAGCTGCTAGGAATAAGGGTAGATTATTGGCTCGCACGTGGCGTGGACGGCAGGGGCGGGGTGGAGTGGTGTCGGGTTGGAGGTTCACTGGGCGTGGGGCGGGGCACGCACGCCGTGAGGTGAGGGGGCGTGGTGCTTCAGCACGTGGTGAGGCGGAGCAGAGGCGTGGGCCGGAGGCGGAGCCTGGCACGTGGCAGGGCGCGCAAGCGCAGTGCTCTCAAGGCAGGGCCTAGACAGCGACGACGGCGGCGCCATGGAGAAGGTGAACTGGCGGTTGGTGGCCGCCGCGTTTGCGGGCGTTGCGCTGGCCCTGGAGGCGCTGCCCTCGCTGGTGCGTTGGTTGCGGGCCGGGCGGCAGCCGCGACACGAGGTGCTCTTCTTCCCGTCGCAGGTGACCTGCACCGAGGCCCTGCTGCAGGCCCCGGGCGCGGCGCCGGCCCGGTCCCCGGCCGACTGCCCGTGCAGCCTCCCGCACAGCGAGAGCTCGCTGAGCCGCCTGCTGCGGGCGCTGCTGTCGGCCCGCTCCAGCCTCGAGCTCTGCCTCTTCGCCTTCTCCAGCCCGCAGCTGGGCCGCGCCGTGCAGCTCTTGCACCAGCGCGGGGTGCGCGTGCGCGTCATCACCGACTGCGACTACATGGCCCTCAATGGCTCGCAGATCGGCCTGCTGCGCAAGGCGGGTAAGTGGAGGCCGGGTCAGAGCAGCCAGCCTGGCCCGGGGCCACCGGTAATTCCTTGTGAGCGAGTGTGGGCAGCACGGTTGAACCCGGAGAAACTTGAGTCTGCCTCCCAGGCAGATCTGGCCAAGATGGCCGGACTCTGAGCAGGGTCTCCTGTCCCGCCCCAGCGTTCACATGGCGGCAGGTGGTACCTCTGAAATTCCCACTTGTTCTTATGACCTGGCAGTGGGCTTGTGACCTGCCTGGGTAGAAGTGAGGAAGCACCGGCCGGCAGTTTGGGAACTTGGCAGCCACAGGTGATGATGGCTCAGGAAATAGAGATTGAAGCTTAAAAGCAAGTCAGTCGTTGGTAGCTCCTGCCTGAATCCTACCCAGCTACCTGGAGAGTTGGGATTCCAGCTTTCCACCAGGAAAGTCCTCGAGACCCTACCTTTAGTTAATTAGTAGAAATCTGGACTGGAGGCATGGCTCAAGTGGTAATGTGCTAACTTAGCAAGCAAAGCAAGACTTTGAAGCCCTGAGTTCCAACCCCAGTTATGGGGCCCGGGGAGCAATTCTGGTGGGTAGCTAGCAGAGACCTTGAGCCTTATTGCCACCCATTAGAAAGTGAGTTAAGCCAGGGTTTGGCTTCAGCTGGGGGAAAGGAGGAAGTTGTTCACAGATGCACTAGTGAATCTCATGCTGGGTTCTGAAAATGCATAATACTTATCAGCTAAAAAGTGGACATGACTGTACATAGGGTGCAGACAGAAGGAAGCAACCCGTGTCCTCAATCTGTGCATTCTCAATCCTTCGACCACATGGCACAGGCAGGTGTGTTCTGCAGTCTGCATGTTAGCACCGAATAGGGCATAAAGCTTGGGTATCTCTATGGCCCAGGCACCTGAGGAAAACAGCACACTCATCTATCTGACCTGGTATTCTGGTGTCCATAGTGGCTTTGATGCTGAGAGCCCTTGAGAGGTGTCTAGGCTGCAGTGTAGTCTGACTGCAGCATCTCACCAGCCTGGGATATCAAGTCCCCTCAGGAAGCAGGCTCCCTAACTCTGGATGGCACTAGTCTTTGCCCTAAGCAGTGCATACTCCTGGGGTTTACATATTGGCATTTTTGTTCCCTCTTAGTGGCAGTCCCCAGAGTTCTGTCTGTAGATCATTTTGGTGGGATTGGGGAGATATGTGGGTGACCTCTGGCACAAACAACTTTATTTGATTAGCTTTTGGAGACTCACAAAAATCTCAGGTCTGGAAAGAATCAAACTCCCACTGAAGGCTGGATACTCTGCCAATGAGTCCTGCCTGCTACCTCTTGGATGACTTCTAGATTGTCCTTCAACTCAACAGGAACATTGTATGCCTGTATCTGCTAGGGCTGTATCTAAGTGGTAGGTACACAAGTCCCTATGCATAAGCACACAAATCACAAAGATCTGAAAGATTCACAGGAGATACTGGTATGGAAGAAAGCATGGTGGCCAGAGCCATTGTCTTAATTTGATTGAATGCAGTGGAGCAAGAGGCTTTTTTGGGGGGAGGGGGGAACAGCAAGTGGAAATGTCCCAGTGATAAGCTGATGTTGAAAGATAGCAAGAGGTCCTCTGTGCCTGAAGTTGGGAGCAGCCAAAGGTGCTCAGAGGTCTATGGTGCCTGCGTGTAGGGCTTCTGTGAGATCATTGAAAGATGCTCTGAAGTTATAGCTGACAAGATTCACTGGTGGCACTGGTTGCTCACACCAGTAATCCTAGTTATGCAGGAGGCTGAGATCTGAGGATCATGTTTTAAAGCCAGCCTGGGTAGGAAAGTTCATGGGACTCTTTTTTTTTTTGGGAGGGGGGGCCCGGTCGTGGGGTCTGAACTCTGGACCTGGGCACTGTGTCTCAGCTCTTTAGTTCAAGGCTAGCACTCTACCACTTGAGCTACAGTGCCACTTCTGGTTTTTTTTCTTTTTGCTTTTGTGGTGCTGAGGAATCGAACCTAGGGCCTCATGCATGCAAGACAAGCGCTCTACCATTGAGCCACCTTCCCAGCCCTTCATGGGACTCTTATCTCAATTAACTACTAGAAAACCAGAAGTGGTGTTGTGGCTTAAATGGTAGAGCACCAGCCTTGAGCAAAAGAGCTCAGGGACAGTGCCCAGACCCCGAGTTCAAGCCCTATGACCTGCCAAAAAAAAGTGGGAGGGAAAGGAAGTTTTAGATGGATCTCAAGGTAGGGCTTCAAGGATGACATCCACATATGTTAGTAATTGTCAGTGTACTTCTAGAAGCTACATGCAACACACACACCTTTCAGCCTTCTTCATTGTTCATCTGAAATCCAATCTCTCTCACTTGGAAATCCTGTGGGTTTAGTGGATGAGTCTGGCAGCCCTATTTCAAAGTTCCTGCTTTCAACTCTTATTTTTTTATTTTTTATGTGTCAGTCGTGGAGCCTGAACTCTGGGCCTGGCGCTGTCCCTCAGCTCCTCAGCTCAAGAGGAGCGCTCTACCACTTGAGCCACAGCGCCACTTCCAGCTTTTTCTGCTTATGTAGTACTGAGGAATCGAACCCAGGGCCTCATGCATGCAAGGCAAGCACTCTACCACTGAGCCACCTTCCCAGTCCCTCGACTCTTCTGTAAGGTTAGTCTCATTTATGAGTGGCAGCAATTACAAGCTTTGTTCCTGCCAGGGAGTGGGAAAGCTGGGAACGAAAGCAAAGCAGCTGAGGGCTTTCATAGCAGTTTACTTAGCATTCTAAAGCCCTGGGTTCCATCTGCAGCACTGTAACAACCCCATATGCCTCCCCCCATTTTTGACATATACATAAAATAAGAGGCAAAAGCCAGGGTCTGGGTTAGGGTGACAGGCTGCAATAGAGGGACAGTGAGGCATCTAGGAAGTTCTGCCTGCAATTCTTGCTCCCGTCCTATCTAGTCCTCTTTGTGTTCTTCAGCTTGTCCTTCCCAAGCCCAAACGAGAGTGGAAAAGTTAGGTAGATGCTGCTCAGTTTGGACACAAGGCGCAGCAGGGGGTGGTAGGGTGGTTATTCCTGAGAGGAAAGAGTGCACTGTTGCCCATGGCCCCTGCTCTCCATGTCCCTGTGGCCCTTCCATGCTCTGCCTTCTCCCTGGTTTCAGCAGATGACCAGCAAGCTTCCCTGGTGGCTAGCTGGAAACAGCGGCATTAATGGCCCTGTGGCCATGTGTGGCCAGTGTTGTGAGAAGCTGCCTTGCCCTGCAGGTATCCAGGTGCGGCACGACCAGGACTTGGGCTACATGCATCACAAATTCGCCATCGTGGACAAAAAGGTTCTCATCACTGGTTCCCTCAATTGGACCACACAAGCCATCCAGAACAACCGAGAGAATGTCCTGATCATGGAGGATGCGGAGTACGTGAGGCTGTTCCTGGAGGAATTTGAGCGCATCTGGGAAGAGTTTGACCCTACCAAGTATAGCTTTTTCCCCCAAAAAAAGCGAAGTTGCTAAAGCTATGTGTTCACCTGGGTTGGAGCTGAAGGGGGAAGGGGCTAGAGCCTGTGCTGCCCACTGCCTGGGCTAGCCACTCAGCTGTACTCCAAGCCCTCCAGGCTAGAAAATGGCTAGCCTGAAACTGGCTCCTTCAAGTACTCAACTGACTGAGAACTGAGGGAAGTTTCTGTTGACGGAGCAGTTGATTAGCACCAAGTCAGTCTCCACCACAGCCCAGTATAGGTTGCTCAGAATTTGCTGGTTCTTATCCTGCAGTGGACCCCAAAGTTTTGACAGGGGTTCTCCAGGGCCGAACATTCCCCCCTGTCCCCCGAATTGTTTCACTTCTATTTTAGTTTCCCTCTGCCTCTTTGGACGGCCTTTCCTGCTGAGGCTGGCACTCCTGTTGTTAGCTCCTGGCTGGTGGGGACAGGAAGCCAGGAAAGAGGAGCCTTCTCCCTAGGGTGGGCGTTTCCTGGCACCAACGGGTTTGTGTGTGTGTGTGTGTGTGCTTGCGCGTATGCATGTGCGTGTGCAGTGCGTGCATGAGTGCGTGCGCGCTTCACCCTCAGCCTAGTCCCTAGTATGCTATGCAAGGGAGGCTGTAGGTAGCCAGAAGCTGGGTCCATTTCCACATTGTGCTTTTAATAGTTAACCCCATCACGTTCAAGGCAAATCTGTGTACTTAGAAGTGAGTTCACCTTTAACACCTATGGACACAGCTGTTTCCTGCTCATCAATGGGTCAGGAGATGCCCCCTTAGGGAGGAAGCATGGGGGTAGAGGCTGTGGGTTGTATGTTATATTCTCAGCTCAGGACTGGTATTCCCAGGTCCTGAGTGGAAAAGTGTCTCACTTGTTTGTGAATGTTTCAAATTTCTTTTGTCAAGCACATATAAGGGCAGGTAGCACAGTTGGTATCTGAAGCCACAGTTTTGCCTTTGCTCATGTTGTGTGCGCTTGCGCTGTGTGGCCTTCTTGAGGCTGAGTGGATGCCATCTCTCCCCAGCTCACAGCTCAGCACCACGTGTGTTTCTTTTTATGGTACTGGTGCATAAACGCGGGGTCTTGCGCATGTTTCCCTTTTTAATATTACCTTTGACTTAGTGTTAGGCAAGTAAATTGGAATTTTAAAAAATAATCGATGGAAGCTGTAAAGTGTAATGTACCCAGAAGTGGTCACATGGGGTGTTCCTCTCAGTGTTATGTTTTAGAAGGAGGGCAGAGGACATCATAAGAGGATGACTTGTGGGTGGCTAGTACATCTGAATAAATGCTTTTCTGGAAAGTGAGTGTGCCTGTCCCTGCCGTCAACTGCTGTGTCCCAACCACTCTTATTTTGGCAGCAATAGGGCTTGAATTCAGAGCCTAGCATTTCTTGCAACAGGTGTTGTAAGACTTGGCTACACATCCAATGATTTAGACAGCAGCAGTCAAACAGCAACAAGACTGAGGTATTACCTGTGTACCTCCTGGATTGTTTTGTCAAAATGTCCCAGTTGCTTTGGGACTATTTTGGAAACTTAGGAGATAGGAAGTGTGATCCTAGCCCGGCGCCAGTGGCTCACGCCTGTAATCTTAGCTACTGTACTCAGGAGGCTGAGATCTGAGGATCACGGTTCAAAGCCAGCCCAGGCAGGAAAAGTCCATGAGACTCTTATCTCCAAAAAACCACTCCGAAAACCAGAAGTGGTGCTGTGGCTCAAGTGGTAGAGCACTAGCCTTGAGCAGAAGAGCTCAGGGACAGCGTCCAGGCCCAGAGTTCAAGCCCCATGACCAAAACCAAAATAAAACGTGTGATCCTAGCCATTTCTTCCTGCTTACTTCCCTGACCTGGGATGGGGTGTATATGTGAGTGCAAGAGAACCCCAGCCTCCACCAGCTGTCCTGTCTGTTCCAGAGAGTAAGTGGGAGGAATGTGGCAGTGTGTTTCCACTAGGTGTCACATACATCGAAAATAGCCTGGCTAAGCTACCTCTAGCAATGTTTTAAGACTTGTGAAACTGTCAGATTTCCTGTTTGTTTGTTTGTTTCCCCCCTCCCCCCTCCTATATGTATGTCAATCCTGAGGCTTGAATTCAGGGCTTGGGTACTATCCTTGAGATTTTGTGCTTCAGGCTCAGAAGTAGTGCTCTACCACTTGATTTTTTAGTTTTTTGCCAGTCCTGGGGCTTGAACGTGGCCTGGGCACTCTCCCTGAGCTACTTCTCAAGGCTAGCACTCTACCACTAGAGTCACAGTGCTACTTCTGGCTTTTTCTGTTTGTGTGGTACTGTGGAATTGAACCCAAGCACTCTGCCACTAAGCCACATTTCCTGCCCCTTATATACTTTTGTGTGTGTGTGTGTGCCGGTCCTGGGATTTGGACTCAGGGCCTAGACATATTCCTGAGCTGCTTTAGCTCAAGGCTAGCACTCTACTACTTGAGCCACAGCACCACTTTCGGCCTTTACTGTTGTGGTTCTGAGGGATCAAATTCAGGGCTTCATGCATGCTAGGCAAGCACCCTACCAGTAGGCCACATTCCCAGCTGCTCTACCACTTGAGCCACATCTTCACTTCTAGCTTTTTGGTGGAAAATTGGACATAAGAGTCTCACAGAGGGCTGGGAAGGTGGCTCAGTGGTAGAGTGCTTGCCTTGCATGCATGAGGCCCTGGGTTTGATTCCTCAACACCATATAAACAGAAAAAGCCGGAAGTGGTGCTGTGGCTCCAGTGGTAGAGCGCTAGCCTTGAGCTGAAGAGCTGAGGGACAGCGCCCAGACCCAGAGTTCAGGCCCCATGACTGGCAAAAAAAAAAAAAAAAGTCTCACAGTGTTTACTGTGAACTGGTTTCACACTACAATCCTTGGACCTAAGCCTCCTCTGTAGCTAAGATCACAGGTGTGAGCCACCAGCAGTTAACTTTTCATTCCTTTTGTTGTTGGTTGTGAGGCTTGAACTCAGGGCCTGGGCACTGTCCCTGAGCCTCTTTGTGCTCAAGGCTAGCATTCTACCACTTGAACCATAGCACCACTTCCAGTTTTTGGGTGGTTAATTGGAGATAAGAGTCTCATGGGGACTTTTCTGCCCAGGCTGGCTTCAAACCTCAGATCTCAGCCTCCTGAGTAGCTAGGATTATAAGCATGAGCCACTGATACCTGGAAAACTTCATTCCTTAAGTGTAGCTTTCCACTGTCTCAGCATTATTTAAGATAATTTCTCAGTGAATTGTATTGACACTCCTGTTGAAAATGAGCTGCCCATTATTTTAAGGGTGTATTTCTGAACTCTCTGATTCTGTTCCCATTGATTTGTCCATGCTAATGCCAGGACATACATTGCCTTGATTACTGAAGTTATTATGCTTTGAAACCTGGTAGCAAGTCCTGTTTTTTTCCAATGTTGGTCTGTCTGTTTTGGGTTCCTTTCATCCCTGTGTGTCAGCATGCACATGACAGTCCTGGGGCTTGAACTAAGGGCCTGTGCACAGTCCCTAAACTTTTTTGCTCAAGGCTATTGCTTTACCACTTGAGCCTCAGCTCCCAGCTTTTTGGTGGTTAATTATACATAAGTCTCCCAGAGTTTCTTGCCCTGGCACTGGCTTTGAACCATGATACTCAGACCTCAGCTTCCTGCGTACCTAGATTACAGGTGTGAGCCACCAGCACTCAGCTTCCCCATGAGTTATCAGCTGAGCAGTTTTTTAAAGGCATGCGCGATTTTGATAGAGAATGTGTTGGCTTATAGACCATGTTGGAGAGTACTACCACCTTTTCTTTCAATCTGTGGATGTGAGACAGCTTCCACCTATCTCCTTTAATTTCCTGTGTGCGGAGTGTGCAGATCCCATACTTACACACATTTATATGTATGTGTATATACGTTGTGTGTGTGTCTGTGTATATGTGTGTGTGTGTGTGTGTGTGTGTGTCTTGAACTCTGGGCCTGGGAACTGTCCCTGAGCCTCTTTGTGGTCAAGGCAAGCGTTCTACCACTTGAGCCACAGTGCCACTCCTGCTCTTCTGGTTAACTGGAGACGTGTCTCACGGATTTTCCTGCCTAGCCTGGCTTTGAACCACAATCCTCAGATCTCTGCCTTCTGAGTAGCTAGGATTACAGCAGTGAACCACTGGCACCCAGCTTTTCCATACTTTAAAATTTTGCTTTATAAATGTAATTGCTTACTTTCAGTGTCTGATCCTATGTGTCAAAATGCAACTGATTTTTGTACACTAATCTGGTGTTCTGTAAGCCTGGTATAATTTACTACTTCTAACAAAAGATGAATGGATTCCTTAGAATTTCCCATGTCCATGTCACTTGCATGTAGTTTTACTTCCTCTATGCCATGTTGTGTGCAGAGCAGATGTCCCTGTGAGACCCTGGCGTAGGTGGCCCAGTGCGATAGCTGAGTTTTCATCTTAAGAGATTCGATTTGCAATTGTTTTCTTTTTTTGGTCATGGAGCCTGAACTCTGGGCCTGGGTGCTGTTCCTCTGCTCTTCAGCTCAAGGTTAGCGCTCTACCACTTGAGCCACAGTGCCACTTCTGGTTTTCTGGTGGTTTATTGGAGATAAGAGTCTCATGGACTTTCCTACCTGGACTAACTCTGAACCATAATCCTCAGATCTCAGCCTCCTAAGTAGCTAGGATTACAGGTGTGAGCCATTGGTGCCCGGCTGGCCTTTTTTTTTTTTGCCAGTCCTGGGGCTTGAACCCAGGGCCTGGGCATTCTCCCTGAACTTTTTACTCAAGACTAGCAGTCTACCCCTTTAACCATGGTGCCACTTCTGGCCTTTTCTGTTTATGTGGTACTGATGAATCGAACCTAGGCTTCATAAATGCTAGGCAAGGACTCTGCCACTAAGCCCCCTTCCCAGCACTATTTATTTATTTATTTATTTTTGTCGGTTGTGGGGCCTTATCTCTGGGCCTGGGTGCTATCCCTGAGCACTTCAGCTCAAGACTAGCATTCTACCACTTGAGCCATAGCACCACTTCCAGCTTTTTCTGCTTATGTGGTACTGAGGAATCAAACCCAGGGCTCTCTACCACTGAGCCACCTTCCCAGCCCCCTATTGATTTTTTTTTTATTTTTATTTTTTGGGTCCAGTCATGGGGCCTGAACTCTGGGCCTGGGCGCTGTCGCTCAGCCCTTCAGCTCAAGGCTAGTGGTCTACCACTTGAGCCACAGCGCCACTTCCGGCTTTTTTCTTTTTGCTTATGTGGTGCTGAGGAATCGAACCCAGGGCCTCGAGCATGCAAGGCAAGTGCTCTACCACTGAGCCACCTTCCCAGCCCCCCCTATTGATTTTTTAAACAGGCAAAACACATTATGTGTTTAAGGCCTTGCACTTTTTCTCTCTAGGCTGGCACTCTACCACTTGAGCCATAGCTCAAGTGATTAAGTGGAGATGAAAGAATATCAAAGTATTACAGATTCTTACTGTGATCTTAAGATCTCAGTCTCCTGCGTTAGCTAGG